ATTTATGATTAACTACTATATGGGATGAAAGAAGTAAGACTAGTTAGAACACAGATTACACTCACTGATGAAATTGATTAAGCCTATACAGCTAAAGTAGTAATAGTAATATACTTTATTGTCATTGTACATAGTAAAACGAAATTAAGATGCAATCATTTCGGTGATCTACAATATTCATATACACTCAAACAACCATTCACAACTGTCTCATAACTCCCTTAAGGTTCACATAGCAACATAAAACCACTAATGTCACCCAAATTCCAATTTCATACAGCATTTAAGGCAGTAATAGCTCTTGAATAAAAACTATTTTTTAATCTGTTTGTCCTTGTTTTAATTGTCCTATATCTTCTGCCCGAAGGCAGCAGTTCAAACAGGGAATGTCCAGGGTGTGACAAATCCTGCAGAATGTTCTTTGCTTTTTTCAAACATTGAGAACTATACAATTCCTCCAGGAATGAGAGGGGGCAGCCAATGATCTTCTGGGCTATGATGATAACTCTCTGGAGTGCTTTCCTATCCACAGCCGTACAACTGGCAAACCAGGCACAGACACAGTATGTTAAAATGCTCTCTATTGATCGAAAGGAGAATGCTCAACTTCAAAACCTTAAAGCTTTAAAACTTTAAAAAGAAAAGAAATGTAAAATACCGTGCAATTTAACCACAATATAAGTATTATCAGGACTCTGAATCTTCTGCAAAGCTTTGACTCTGCAGAAGGCTGGGTCTCTTAGTTCACCGCAGAGCCCCAGCAGTTTGGAATGAGAGCCTGTAAATTACTGAGTGGACTGGATGAACCCACGTTTTTCAACTTTCCCCCCTCCCCCTCTGCTTTTATCAATAAGATTAATTAACTATATTCTTTGTTGGCTGAGGCTTAAAAACATTGCTTATCTATGAACTGATCTATTTAATAAAATTCAATTCGCTAAATGAACTTAAACAGATGAACATTTAACTCGGCTGTGTGATAAGATTAATTGAATTCCGTTCTAGAAAAATGGTGCAGATGAGCTTGTACAGCAACACATTACAAAATGGCGGAGCCTATATATAACTGAATCAAATACTTAGCATACTACACAGAGATTTTTCAGAATTCTTCCTCTTGATAATCCGGCGTTCCTGGAGGGGTTGGGGTAGACAATCTTATTTTCCTTTTTAATGATTGTCTTGAGAGTTCCATCTGGGTGATTAGGTCGAGGGAGCTGAACATTTTAAACCCTTCTTCCTTATTGGAGATTCTGTAAGCTTTGCCACGGTACGTAAATTGTAGAATCAACGGGGTGACCCAGGAATATCGGATGTCTTCCTCTGCTAGCCTCAATGTTAGCAGTTTAAGTTCCCTTCTTTTGAGGAGCACTTCTTTAGGTAGGTCCGGGTAGATTTCAATCATTTCTGAATTAAAGGTGAGGTGACTTTGAATAGTGTTGATTTACGATAATGAAAGTCTAAGAAGGTCACTATGATATCCCGAGTTGGTCTCGTCTTTAACAGTGTTATTGGGCCCGCTCTATACGCCTTTGTAATTATTGGTGATAGATTCTCCGTCGGTGGTACCTCTTTTATCAGCCATCTAGATAGACCCTCCGATAAGTCTTCTTTCCCCCCGATTTTCTCATTCAGAGCCATGATCTTCAGATTGTTTTGATGGAGAGACATATCAGTTTTAATTGCCTTTTCTGCCAGTACATCTTCTAATTGCTGCAGTTGTTGGATTTCATTCTGAGTGGTTGCACTAGCGTTCAACGCATTGGTGGCTAGTGCTTTCATTTCTTTTAATTCTTTTTGCATGTCTTCCATCTGCGCATTAAATGGTTTAAAAAATGTCGACATGTTGTCTAGGACCGATTTCTCCAGGTTAGACATGTTGATCTTGCTAGTCTGATTCAGGCCCTGCTCTGTAGCTGTGGGTTGGAAAGCAATTGTTGTTTGGATTTTCTTCAATTTTGGTTTGCTGAGTTGCCCAGAGGTATCCGATTCAGCCTCCATGTAGTAAGATGAGGTTCTGTAAGGTAGATCGCTGTTTTTGACGAGGGGATCAGAGGGCTAGTCAGAGCTGTGGGATTAGGCGACCATGTTGGATCCCTGCCACCGGAAGCCCCCGTGATCTTTTTAAAAAATGTTTGTTTTCTAGTGCTATAGCGCTATACCGGTATGGCACTCTAAAACAAACGTTCAAAAATAAAAAGGATGGAGATTGCCCATGTGGGGGGAAAAGGGCAGGAAAACAAAGCAGTGCCGGAGGAAGCCCTACGTGGCATTTTACACAGCACCCCGTAGCGCTTCAGAAACATTATAGAAAAGTGGAGACCACTTGGAAGCAGTTTGCAGGTAAAACGGTTCAGAAACACTTTCCTAGCGGGACAGAAGCATTCCTGTCTGAAAGTGAAAATATATTCTGGTAGGGAACTGTTACTAAAACGGCTCTGTCTGAAATGTCAGACCAGAAACCATTAGCGAACAGTCCCTGAACCGGAATATATCAGCTGTCTGAAATTCCCCTCTAGAATCTAATGAAAATTGCTATAGCAGAGGTTCTGTGTTACATCTTTTAGCATATCTCCACTACAGAAGGTATTAGTGACCCACCTATCAATGACCATTGCAGGGGGTTTGCAGTTTTTCTTTAACCTTGCATAGGCAGTGAAATAATGTGCTAATATTAAAAAAAATGAAGAAGTTAATAATTGAATAAGGGCTGGGTGGGAAAAGTAGCTCAGACTCAGGTTAAGCCAGTCTAAAACCCAAGTGGACCACTTGCTTTGCACCCAGCCAAATCTGACTGTACAGCACATCAAGCCAAAGAATGTTTCCTTTGTTGTGTTCATGATGCTTACTCATCGACAAGCCATTCCCCTTTTAGAGGAGTCTATTTTTACAGCATAATTTCCATCTGTCTTTTGATCTTTTACCACATAAGAGGCTCAGATATTAACAACACTGCCCAAGCCTAAAGAGAGAGACTGTGACAGCATCGACTCAGGACTCCTGCCCACTTGGGGGTCAGGGCTGTTGTTCAGATGGCACTTCTGAATAGTAAGATGTACTCTCTGCTCTTTGGCCAAGTTGTTTTTAGTGAACTGGATGGCTGTTTTGGTGTTTGCCGGCTGCCATCAATCCCCCAAACACTACAGAAATATATGGTGGAATCTCAAGGACCATGGTGACAGAGCAAAGCATATTCCATCTGCTGTGTGTCTAACAGGAGTGAAGAACACGGTTTTACATTTAGTATGAAGTGAAATGAAATTCAGCATCTGTGGTTTGGTTTCATCGTAAGTGATAACTGGAAATATATTGTTAACATTATGTCTCTGATAAATATAGCATAAGCAAAGAGAATTGAAAGTATGAATCCAATTTAAGTACGCAGACAGGGAGTACGATAGAAACAAATGTTTGCAGATAAACATGCACATTCAGTGGATTTCCTTTCTCTCTCTGATCATTAAAGCGAGCGCTGGCTTAAAGCAGACTTCCAAACTGGTAGGGGGAAAAACATTTTGCAGTGTTGAATGCATGCCAATCTGCTCAGTTTGATAGCTGGGACAATATAATGCAACCTATCTGAGCAACTGCAATAAGTCAGCACACCTCACATATAAGATAAATCTAACATCAGTCATTCCAGCTGCTGCTCAGACAGTCATCTGACCAGTGAAGTAAGCTACGGGGTTACCAGTAAATGTGAGTGAAGTTTGTGCAAAAGAAGTTATGAGGCGTATGTTCTCACGAAACATATTTCCTTTTAATGATGTGTCGCAAATTGTTAGCAGAACTGTAATGAGCATGTACCCAGTCAAAGTCTGCATACCGTTTACTTAGGGCAGAATTAAGTTTTGGACCTGAACGCCACTGCCCTTTTATGCTATGACACCAGACATCCCGAATTTCAGTTTATTTGCATCCACTTTTTCAGCTCTCCAATGAGAAGTCTCTGCATAAGGGAGCTTGACTAGTGGTGTTTAGTGATTTCTCAGATAACAAGAGCTTTGCATTTCGGTGGAATTCCCATTTGCTTGTGAGCTGCTGCTGCCGCTAGCCTGATTGATATATGACTGCAATGGCACTTTTCCATTTGACATTCTCTCGCTCCCTCTCTCTCTCTCTCTTGCTTAAACAACAGCCCTAACTTTTGTGTGTTGCAAATATAAAAGGGAAGCCATGTGACAGAGGGACAGAAGAACAAAAGCATTTGGAAGTAACAAGACCTCTTATTAGCTCTCACAGTTTAGAAGTCCAACAGGAGGCAGGAGCAACACATTTTCCAAAGGTAAGACAGCACTAAATGAAAAGCTTTCTATGGAACATAAAATATTAATGTTAATTAATTTGTCTTTTGATTTGACAGCCCCATTGTCTGTTAACTAGCCTGTTTTATTGTTAATGCGCATAGATTAAAAAATTACCTAAGGGTTTGATGCCTGCATCTTCTGATTAGTCTCTGCTCCAGATGCGAGTGGGCAAGCAATGAGAAACCAGTGATGTTTCTAGAGATAAAATGGTTGCATTAAATTAATTTATTCTGGGGAGGGGGGAACCCCAACATGCTGGGTTCTTGTGGCTTTAAGACTGAACTACGAGGGGAAATGTTAAGAGTGTTTGTGAATTCCCAATAGCATTAGGGTATCTTCAGTACTGTCTTTGTCCCATTAAAATGGGATTTTAGGAACACGGGCAAGGCTTCTTGTTTAAAAGGGAGATGTTTACTTTTTTTTTTTTTTTTTTTTTTTTGCAATTTATGTATGCTGATCCTTTGCCAGTCATCTCTGGAAGTGCTTAGAACAGTTTGAAACAATAAGCAATATTTATTTGTAGCTTTGTGGTTCACCCTTTTCAAGGAGTGGCTTTTTGCTTTTGTTGTGGGGGGATTATTTTTTCTTTACCTTATTATTTATCCAACCCCCTGGGAAGTTGTGCTATGGAGTGCACAGCACTGGTTATGGATTAGGATGGATTTAATATGTGCTTTTGATTGGCTCAAACCTGTGAGGAAATCCACAGTGTTTGTCTTGGCTGTAGTACAGAGGAGATATATTGAGCAGCCGGCTTACCCCTTCAGCACAACCAATAATGCACTGTGGATATCTGTTTGTCAGATCAAGCCAAAGGATGCTTGGGCAAGGGGCACAGTTTTCAGGAACAATCTGTGAGGCCTCCAACATGTGCTATTCAAAGAAGTTTCTGCTGCTCTGGAATCATTATTTTGCTTTTGATTAGATTTTCTCCTTAAGAGCACCATCACCATGGGAGACAGAAATGTAACAGGGCTTTAAGACAAGTATAATTGTGATGTATCTGATGAAGTATGCATGTACACGAAAGCTTATACCCAGAATTAAACTTTGTTGGTCTTAAAAGTGCCACTGGACTCAAACTTTGTTCTGTGATGTGAATGTTAATGGATGAAAGGTGATGGATGTGCTTAGAAAGAGGTGATTACAGTGGAGAAATCCCCAAAGGAAACTTTATTAAAAACATGCAGAAACACCCAAATATGGAGGTGAATGAAATAGTACTGCAAGAATTCAAGAATAGTTAATAGCAACAAGCATGATGGTGGCATCACAAATAGGCTCTTTAACCTTAAGCCTTCGAACATTTGCAATTGGTTGGAAGATCAGGGGCAAGATAATGTTTTCTAAAGGGTGCATTTGAATTCGAGAGACTGGGCTGTTCTGTGGGTTTACGTATGAGCCAGGAGAACAATCTAGATTCAGAAGCAGGGTTAACTCCTCCGGCACAGTTTCCTTTTTAAAATGAATAGGCAAAATGGCATACCTTTACAGAAACTGACAACAGATTGCTTGAAAGACTGCCTTCCCCAGCAGCATGCATCAGTTATAAAATGTAATACTTGTACCTGAACTGTGCAGTTCGTAGCAAAGCAACCAAACAGAATGGATAGCATATATACATTAAAAAAGAAGTGTAAGAAAATGTTTTGAATTTGAGCGACAGTATCTTAGTGCTGGTCTTCTAATGGAGGCAACCCAAGAGCATAACAGGACCACTTCTTGGAGGGGCGCAATAGATAACATGCCCCTCATTTTCACTGGATATTCACTGGATTACTCCCACACACTCCTGAATGCCATCCATTTATCCAGAGTACCTGCCTTTGAGTGAAATTATAGAGATGGGTGTTCTCAAAACCTTCAGAGAACTCATGCAGCTCAGATGTCTCCACACATGTGCTTGGAAAGGCAGGAAATCTCAATCACCACCATTGTTATATGTTTATTTAGATATAAGAGGAGAAATTGGCATTGTAATAACTGCTGAAGGGTCTGGAGGGTATAGAGGCAAAGAGTTAATACAGGTAAAGCAGATTGCTTGTCTTTCTCATGCCACAGAACTTGTTTTATGAAGTGTCAGTGTGCAGCATGTACATATGTAGCTTAACTCTGCCTGGGCAGCTGAGGGGTATGGCACCATGTACTTTTTAAGTTGTATCTGAGATTGTGCATGCCACTGTTAAACGTAGACAGTTTGATATTTCGATCATGATTATTATGAGTGTGCTATGCAAACTACATGGTATTTTAAAAGTGTTCTTAATGAATAGGAACCAATCTAATAGTACTAATAAATAGGTAATACTGCATAGGTCTACAAGTGTTTCAGTGTTCAAGGCCTTTCACAGACATTGCACAATAGCTCTTTATGGCAGATCAGCATTGCTATCACTCTCTTGCATTTGGGAGGGGGAGATTGAAATCACATGGCTTACCTAAGACCACCTTGTGAGTATATAGCAGAGGGAAAGACCTCTTGAATCACATTCTTTGAGTTATTCTCATCTCTTAAACTGGTACATGTCATTCAGGGAATGGCTTTTGAAGATGCACTTGTGTAGGAAACATCAGTCAGCAAGCCCCCTGTACCTATGAGAATATTATCTGTGGCCCCGGTCACACGGCAAAGTTGCTGCGGGAGAGGCACGGAAGGTGGGCAGATTATCCGGGTGCGATCACACCCCAATATCTGGGAAGTGGAGCACACCCGTGGCTTACCGCCGACAATGTGCATTTAAAAACTAGTACCTCCAAGGTAAACGTTTGCCACGGGCTGCCTCCAGACGCCCGTGGTGTGATCCCGCCGGCGCGCGGCATTCCCCTCTGGTCCCTTGTTTACCCGGTGGTGCCAAGGGAAGGACCCGTGGTGTGCCGCCGGCCCGTCTGATCGTGTAATCGCGGATCAAACTGTGCTGGGGCAATTAGCCACGCCTCCCCCCCTGCGATATCTGGCCCGTGTGACCGGGGCCTGTGTTACTCAAAAGAGCAGTGCTGCATGTATGGATTCTGCAGGTATGAACTGAGTACTGTGGGCGCAGAATTCAACATTTCTAAGATTTTTTTTTTTTTAAGGGACTGTTTCTAGCCATTATTGCTTTTAAAAAGGCATATTTGTTTAGGCAATGCAAAGGGAAATCTCAGAGAAAGCATGATGGAGCAGAGCAGATTTTCAGTGGTAAGGTGGGTAAAGATCTTTGCCAATTCCTCTGATTAGCAGAAGCAGAAGCAGTGATGCAAAATAGGCAGAGCTGTTGAGTGTGCTTAGTTTGCTGGGCGGCAGAATCCCACGTGCTTTGGTGCTGAATTCTGGGTGCAGAACTGTGGTGTAGCATGAAATACGATTCAAAGGCAGAAAGTCAAAGGTTTTGCTTTCAGGTATCGCATCCACCATGTTGGAGTGCTAATGTAAAGCTATCCTAGCTAACTGCCACTAATACAATGCAATTTGCACTTTGTCAGGGTGAGAGGACAGCTGGCCTTCCAGCTTTGGAAGAACAGTCTCTGATGCTCTCTGCTAGAGCAAGGTTTTGGTTGTTTTGTCCCTGACATAGCTCTGCAACTGTAAGCAAAGGTAATGATGTAACAGTGGAAAACCTTGTCCTTCTTTTTGCTTTTCTCAACCGCATCTATGCCATGTGGAGATTCCTCAGAACTATGTGAGGAATCAGGTTTTAAGATGTCCTTCTTTTTCCTATCCATGTGCTAGGCATTTCCTATCCATGTGCTGAAATACTATCCTGGTTTCTCCTTTGCCTGGCTCCGCAGGAAACTTCCTTCCTTCCTTGGGTCCTAGTGAGCATTAACTGTGTGAGTGCCTCCAACATCTGTTCCAGGTTTCATGTACACAAGAGTAGGAACAATCAAAGCTGAAGTTTACAGTTGTAATTGGTGACTTGGACATGGGTGGGACTGAGTGGGGCATATTTCCTCTTGTGGTGGATAAGGTGGGAGATAAATGCATCATGTTTTTCATTTTGGGTGTCTGAAGACATGAAAAAAGATCCCATGGGGTGATCGTGAGAGGGCAATCAGTCAGAGAAAAAAGCATTCCTTCTCTGAAGTATGATTCATTACAGCAAAGTTGCAAGGTTGCTAATACAGGGATAGCTTAAAAACACACACAAAAACCCAACACCCCCCTCTAGCATTTTGCAGTCCTGCTTTTAAACACAGAAGGCACAAGGCCAACCATACAAGGCATGCAGGTAGCACAGTGTGGGAAGCCACGGCTGAGGCAGTATATGAAACCCATTCAAAAGTATCAAAGGGAAACTAACTGCTTAGCCACCCTCTTCCATTCTGCAGTTCATTCCAGAGAGAGGCATCACAGTAACCATTGACCAGATTTTCCTTCATCAGAGAAACACACATATGGGATCAGGTTTATGAATTTGTATAGCACCTTTTGGCCTTGTCTAGTGTTCCTAACGTGGCTCCCAGCCATCTTAAAACAACGTAAAACATTTTGAAACAACACAAGGTCACAATAAAAACCTAGTATCATTATGGTGCGGTTATTATTCAATCAGACCAAAAACCTCTTGGAGCAGAAATGTATTGAATTTTCTCCAGAAGACCTGAAGAAACAGTGCCAGCCTTAGCTTCTATGGAGGGAGTTCCATAACTTGGAGCCGGCATTTGGAAAAGCTCTCCCATCAGGTTAGGATTTGTATTTATTTTTTTGGCAAGGATCTTGTGTCTTTCATGCATGCATGGCAGGCAGAAACTTGGCAGGCAAAGCTTCAAGTTACACCGGGGGGGGGGGGGGGGGGAAGTGTCCACCCAGACAAAGTAGAGTCTTTCCCCTATACCCCGACATGCAATAAAACAAAATTGCCACTAGGGTAACACCTGGAGAAAGGGGCCTTCCATATTTAATGTGGTGATAAGACTCTTGCTTAGATAACTTTTAAAAATAATCAGTTGGGGTGTGGGGAACAGAGCTATTCATGTATATTAGCCATAATAGCTAAAT